TTGTCTTCCAATGTAGGTTCTCTGCACCAGATTTCGTTGTTGCGTGTGTGTACTCTTCGCCTTTATTTACTATTGTCCTCACCATCTTCATAATGGTCTTGTCATAATATTCATTATCCTCATGTGTCATTATGATAAATTCAGTTACCTATTAGAAAACAGGGGGAGAGGACAGTGACCCTTACCTTTACAAAGACAAGCTCTTGGCAGACGGTGGATTTAAGAAACACCTTTGGGGAAAGAAGGCTCAGAAGCCCTCCTTTAGTGACGCCGCTCAGTTGAATGTCTTTCTCAAGGCCTATGGAAGTACTTGTGTAGACCATGATCTTTCTCATCATATTCATCCTTGCGAAGCAGGCGTTTGGTCGAATACGGCAGATGTACTATTTTTAAAGTTCTCGTTAATACAAAAAAGTGTTTGTTCTTTGTTGTTGATCAAATTCACCGATAATTTCCATTGAGCATATATATCATCAATATCTATGCAAAGTTCTTATTTCCCATGCCATCAAGTTTTTGTATGGAGTCATCCCTGTAGAGTTTGTATCTTATTTAATATTATCGTCAGATTATTATTATCACCATGATTTTTTATATTTCAAAATGCATAATTTAAACATGTGATGTACAACAACAAAGTAATGCCAGTCAAGAGATGTTTTTTTTTTCTAGATGTCTAATCTCTTATTGGCCTTCCAGCAACATAGATTTACATGACAATCTGTTTGCGAAACATAAAGAATAATAATAAAAAAAAATATTTTTTCCGCAATCAACTCAGTGCTCATACTTAATGTCTCTCTGTTGGGAAGATATGCAGGTTGGCCTACGAGCTTTTGCAGACCCTCCGGCCAGACGCGCCACGACGCATTTTCTCCGTCGACTCGAGCTATTGGTTCCACTACGAGGTCGGCAACGTGGTGAGGGCCAGGTACCCCCACACTCCCCGGAGGTCAGCTTATCTGCTTTTGCATCTCTCGTTTTGCTTTGTATTTTGCTGTCTCCTAGCTCTGAATTCCCCTCCCCTCACCCCCCATCTCTCTCCCTCTCTTCCCCTACCTTTTTTTTTCTCTCTGCACCAACCCCCCGAGGAGGGTAGAGAGGGAGAGAGAAAGAGAAAGAGTGCTTCTGTGTGTGTGTGTGTGTGTGTGTGTGTGTGTGTGTGTGTGTGTGTGTGTGTGTGTGTGTGTGTGTGTGTGTGTGTGTGTGTGTGTGAGAGAGAGAGAGAGTGATAGTGATAGAGAGAGAGAGAGAGAGTGATAGAGATAGATAGATAGAGAGTGATAGAGATAGAGAGAGGAGAAAGAGTGTTTAAGTGAAAGAGATAGAGAGAGGAGAAAGAGTGTTTAAGTGAAAGAGATAGAGAGAGGAGAAAGAAAGTGAAAGAGATAGTTTAAGTGAAAGAGAAAGCGATCATCCCCCTCCAAAAAAGCCTCTCCTTTGATCATTCCTTCCATCGCCTCCCACTCACCTTTCCCTCCAGAAAAGCCTCCCTCTGACCACTTTCTCAAGCAGCTCTCCTTTTGATCTCTCCTTCCCCAAAAGCCTCTCCTCTGAGCCCCCCCCCCTAAAAAAAAGTCCTCCCCTCTGCCCTTTACAGAAGTTCCCCCTTTGACTCTTCCCCCTTTCCGTTCCTTTGCACCAGGCCCAGTGAACTCGAGTTCCAGAAGGGAGATCGGTTGACGGTGATTTTCAAGTACTACAGGAAGAATATCAACCACCAGGACGGCTTTCTATACGGACAGAACCAAGACACAGGACAATTCGGCCTGTATCCCATATATAAAACGGTCGAGATCACGCGGAATGCTGACATTCCTTCCTTCGAGCACATTGACAAGAAGAAAAAATAAATAGATTTTGTTTGAGTGGAAGAGGCAGACGGTTAAGAGACACGGACAATACATAAACACACAAGATTACGACAATTTGAAAGACAGAGAAGTGGATAGAGAGAGAGAATGGGAGTAATTGAAATGAACTTTTTGTGTGTCAAGTAAATTGTGTACTAAATTTTCATCCTTGGCATTATTCGAATTACTTGTTTGTGTTTTCCTCTGTCGATATAATTAGTATCCGCAATTGTTTATTCTCATAAATATTAATTCTCATTACTTGTATTATAAATATTATCATATCAGTATTATGGTCACTTCAGCAATTAAATAATTTAATTTATAAAAGGGATTTATTACTTAGGACATGGGGAAAAAGGGAACAAAAAAAAATACACAGGATGTATAAAAAAGACTTTGGCGAAGTTGGTTCTTATAATTTTCTTTTGAGTATAATAACAGTAGGAGGAATAAAATTTTAAAATAAAAAGAGACAAAGAAGAAGAAAAAAGAAATACTAATGTTAATTAAAGAAACTGGAATGGAACGGAATGGGTATTAAAATAGGGGACGAACGCCTAAACAACCAAAGATTTGCAGACGGTGTTCTCTTTAGCGAGTCTGCAAATGAACTGCAAATGAACTGATAGACGGTGTTCTCTTTA